AGGGTGGATTCTATGGCTTTGTATCCTGCTGAACTCCTTCTGTTCCTCAAAACCAGTCCTCTCCAGGCTCCGCCCCCCAAATCTCCTGGTATTTCCCAACTCAGAGCTGGCAACCATAGCCTACCGGTGTTTGTTTGTGTATGTATGCCCTTGTGTAAAAGAGAGAGAAAGTACACAGTTTTACCCTCTGCTGCCACCTTATGTCAATCTTAGCTAGAAAAGCACAGCGATCAAAGAGCTCATGACAAATAGTTGTAACCTTCACCCCTTGAGTCTAAAGAGAGACTTCGCAATTATGGTTACACAAACTGAACAGATCGTACTTAACATAGCAAGAGACCAGAAAGGATTGCTCCCCTGAAATGTGGTTTCAGTGCAAAAAGCAAACTCATTCGAAGCCAGAAAGGTACAAGGATATTGATTTACTGCGGCAAAGATTATGTTACTTTCCCCCCATTTCCCCCCCACACTGACATGTGTTTTCTTGGGAAAGCTGGAGGCTAGCAATCCAGAAAAAAGAATAACAGTCCTTCACATTCATAGAACATCCTTTGTAAACTGTTTTGTTTATACACTGAATTTATGCCGTGGTTATATCAGGGGAGAAAATGTTTAATACAGTTTGAGTCTTAAAAGGGGGGGGGGGGAGAAAATGACTGCTGGAAGTAGAGCTGATACTTTCATACATCACAAACCAATTTCCATTTTGACCTCTCAGCGCTCAAGGGAGAAAACAAGTGGCCGGGTATTTTTCTTCTTTCTGGGCCCTTCCGCACCTGGAGGAGTTGGAGAGCTGGTGTTTGAACTTCAAACAAAAAATGATGGTCTAAACATACATCTCAGATTTCAATACAATCTCTTGATGCTCAAAGAATGGGGCGGACTGGCCCTTTAACTAACTAGGAAAGTTCCTGGTGGGCTGTTGCCCCGGTGGGACACTAGGGGCCGGGAACAAGCTGAGCTCAGTTGCCCCTATAGAGCCAGTGGTGCCTCGGGGTCTGTGCAGCTTGGACACGGCCCACGGCCATAACAGTAATGGGCACAGGCTCGCCAACATCCAGTGTCAGTACTGCCAAAACTTGAATCTAAGCCATGCAGACCCTGGGGGGCTGCCAGTAGCATAGGAGCCGCTTGGTGCTCAACTTGCTCTGTGGCTTTTCAGCATCCCTGTTCCTTCCTGTTCAGAACTTACGAAGAGCCCTGCTGGATCAGAGCAGTGGTCCATCTAGTCCATCCACACTGACCAACAACAGAGCAGAGAGGCTGAGGCCTTCCTCTCCTGGCACTGGCATTCAGAGGTTGACAGCCTCTGAATGTGGAGGTTCCCTTTAGTCCCCTTGGCAAGTAGCCACTGATAAGACCTGTCCTTCATCAATCTTTCTACTCCCTTTATAAGACTATATCGAAGAATATGTTAAAGCATATATTACATCACAGCATGCTTGACAACTATCTGAGCAGCTGACTCTCTTAAAGATAGGCACCAAGGTGGGTCTCACCTTCAAACTGTAGAATCGGATCCGGCATCAACCTACCCTGAAGTGGGTCACCTGCCAGGGCCCAGGGCTGCTGGTGGCACTCACTGCAATCAACCCCCACCCATGCAGCTTCCCTGCCACCTGTCTGTGCCCCCAACTGCCCAGCATCATTGAGGAAGAGCATGTGGGTGGGGCACAGCAGTGGCACTCCAGTGGCAATGGCAGCAGTGTTTCCAACTGCATGCACTGGGCATTGCTGTCAGGGAAGGGGTGTACAGGTGATTGTAAGGTCCTGCTTATTGGGGAGACTGTTTCTCCTTTAAAACGCACTCTGTGTACATGAACTTAGTAGATTTCTGCTGCCACCAGGAATTAAAAATTCCAGATCTCTCTATTTTGGTAGAATGACCCTGTGTCTGGGAATTTCAGAGGTCTATGTGGCCCTGAGGAAGGACTGTTCTGATTGCTGGGATAAGTTTAAACAAATAATGATTTATTTATAAAAGTACAAAATAGGTTTCTGGGTATTTTTGAACTGTTGTTGAAGAAAGAAAATATAACTGACAAAGCTTGGCATCACACACAGTCTCTCATACACCAAAACTCAACTCTGACGGGCTTAGAAGCACAGGCTGAACTCTCTTGCTCATATGGCCACACAGGCTGAACTTTCTCTCTCATAGCCACACAGGCTAAACTCTTTTGGTCATATAGCCACACAGGCTGAACTAAGCTCCTCCAACTGCTTCCTCTATCACACAGACTCTTCCAAAAACACTCCACACTCATATCTTCAAGAACACAGAATCACCTCAGAGACACCCCTCCTCCCACATTCTCAGTCATCAGCCAATCACATCACACTCATCTCCCTCTATCATTCTCCTTACATTACTGCAGTCAAACTAAACATTTAAAGAAACACACACACCAAAACACGAAATCGTTACAGTGATGAAGGAGGCAACTGAGCATGGGTGATAAGAGGGCTTGCAAGCAGGTAGTTGGGGGCCTGCAGGTGTAAGGGTGGAAAGGAAGGAATGGGGAGAGGCCTCTGAGCATTGTCTGCTCAGGGCCACCCAAAAGGTGGAACAAGATCTGCATGGAACAGCATTCATCTACACTTATTTTATTCTCTGTTATGTTTAGGATCCTTGTCTCCAGTCTTTCTGCTAAAGAACCAGAGCCCAAGGCACATCCCCAAAACAGACAGTAGGAATACAGTAAAATGTATTGCATTAATGTGTACAAAAGGCATACAAATTAAAACTACCCAAAACCAGTGTTCCCTCTAAGCTGAATTAGTGTGAGCTAGCTCAGTTTTTTAGCCTCCGGCTCACACATTCTTGTCTTAGCCCAGGAAGGATGGCTCCAGAGCAAACTAATTTATGCAGTTGCCAAATCGCACACTCACAGCTTTAATGCCAGTAGCTCACAAAGTAGCATTTTTGCTCACAAGACTCCACAGCTTAGAGGGAACATTGCACAGCAGCAGCAATACAGCCACGGAAGATCAGTGCAGCCCACATAACAGCTTCAGAGTATACAGCTCACTCATCTTCAAATGTATAGTGGAATGTTGTGGTCCGACTTCTGAAAATGAGGAGGCCAAATAAATACCCCAAGGGAGGCTGCTGCATCATAGGTGAAATCACTCTGCAGGCTTCGGTCACTTTGGAAATACAGATAAGGCCCCCAGCCAAGGATCAGGTCACAAGTAGGATTTGGGCGGGGACACAGCGCCATAATGGATTGGAATGACAGCCAGGTGGATCCCATTCTTCGATCCCACTGGGGACCCTTTTTACTGGCCCGCTGTTGTTTTTTCATCAGCAGCCTCACTCTGGCTTCTTTGAAACAACCACTCCAGACACGTAGAAATTTCACTAGTAAAAACCGTCCCATGACTGTTTCTACATTTATTAGATTTCCGTACGACTAAGCTGTGCGTGAAAGGAGCAGGGCCAGGGAGAAAAGGCGGCAGCCCTATGTGACCATGACTTTGTAGCCATTGTGGCTACAGTTCCCCTCCATCTGGCCTCACACATTGCTTGTCACGATCAAGACCCCTTTATGTACATATGTAAGCGCTGTCAAGTTGCAACCAACCTATGACGACCCCAGCAAGGGGCTTCCAAGGCAAGGGGGAAGCAGTGACAGTTTGCCACGGCCGCCCTCTGCAACAGTTTTGCTATCATGCCAACATTTTCTTGGCAGGTGTATTATAACAAACATTAAACCAAAGAAGTGAAAACTTGCTACCATCTGGAATGAAGCAGATTGGGTCATTGCTTTATGCACTGCTGGTGATGACAGGAAACATTTGTGCTGCAGAAGCCCAATTTTCTAATGGGAAGTGTTGAGCAACACCTCCTTAGAAAGTGCTTGAAAATCACTGAAATCAAAGAGCATCTCTTTCGGTTCTAACCACCATGAACAACTTTTTCGCAATCCGTTAAGTATTTGGTTTCCTTTAGGAGAAAAGATAGATTTAGAATGTTTTGAATGGGAGGCTATTAAAGCTGCTAAATATAAGCTCCTCCTATTTTGTTGAGGCTACAAAAGGATTTTGCTTAATAGACTGTATTTTCACAGAAGTTAATGGTTGTCAGTTTATCAAAATTGTTTATATATTTAAATAGTTTTGTAAATGATATGGTTGTTGCGCCCCTTTTCCTCCTGTTGTCATATATATTATGTCATCGCTGCTGCTATTTTAAAGTGTAACATTATATAATTAAATAAAAATCTAAATTAAAAAAAAGAGCATCTCTTTCAGGGCAGGGGGGGGAGGAGGAGGAGGCAGCGGCGAGAGACCTGTATGCCTTCTACAGTTGCCAACCTCCAGGAGGGGCCTGGGGATCCCCCAGAATTACAACTGATCTCCAGATGACAGAAAAGTTCACCTGGGGGAAAAGAAAATCTGCTATGGAGGGTGGACTCTATGGCACGATTCCCCACTCAGGTCCCTCCCCTCCCCCAGGCTCCATTCCCCCAGATCTCTGGGAATTTCCCCAGCTGGAGATGGCAACCCTACCACCTTCTACAAGTGATGTCCTGAAACCTGTACTTGGTTGGGTTGGCAAACCCTTGCAAACTGCCAGGGCAATGGGGTGAAACGGACAACGGCCTGGGCCACCCCTCAGTCCCCCTCCCCAGCCAAAGCTAAGCCCAGGTATGTGTAAGTGAATGAATGCAGGTTCTTCCCTCCTTTGTCCCCGCCTCTAACTCCTGCCCCATATATTTTAAATTGTCTGCTCCTCAGAGCTGGGACTTCTATGTTTGCACCGTAGAACACACCTGGTGCCCTGAAGAGGGGTACTGAAAGAGTGACAACGGAGGCACTGAGGAGAGTCCGTTGCTCAAAAGGGGAACAGTGAAAGCCTTTCAGTGTGCCAGAGGTAGCCCTTCTGTAATGTGGTGTCAAGTACAGAATTTTCGAAGCGGAAAAAAAGATCAATATTCAAAAGACAATACAGTAAAACATCATTGTTTATTGTGGAAATAGCTGTTCTCAGGAAACCGTGCACGAGCCTTTGGCCTCACTGGAAGTGGCTCCATCACTGCTCTGGTCAGTTCTGCTCCAAGCGACTGATGTAGTCTTGGACCCATCTCTGTGCGGGGTTGGCACAAATCTCCCGGCCTTTCCTGGTAATAAACCTCAAAAGAATCCAACAAAAGGCAATATTATTTTCTTTTGACTCCAGTTGCACTTCAGGGAATTTCTAGCACTCTCCCCTTCCTCTGAGATCTCAATTCCCCTGCTTTTTCCTAGTGTTACTCTCCCAGCTGTGATAAGCATGAAAGAAATGTATAATGCCAAGCACTGCATAATGACACCCCATTCACCAATCTGCTCAAAAACGTAGTCCTTCTCTCTGAACCCCTGCGAATCCCAAATCATGGCATCAATAGCATATGCTAACAAAACCCAGCTAAGAACAGGATGCGACAGTCTTCAAAATGAGGAATACTGTAAGTATTTTATCCTGAAATTCAACAGGCAATACATAGAGGTGCCTGCAGCCATTGCACACTCTAGTAGGG